CTCTCTCTCTCTCTCTCTCTCTCTCTCTCTCTCTCTCTCTCTCTCTCTCTCTCTCTCTCTCTCTCTCTCTCTCCCGCCGTCTTTTGCGTCGCTGCCGGATAACGTCGATCCCCCGCCTCGCTCCCGTGCCGTCCGAAGAACGTCGTTCCTCCCCTGTTGATCCCCTGTCGATCCCCCGTCAAATCCCCGTCGATCCCCTGTCGAATCCCCGTCGTTCCCCCCCCCGTTCCCCCCCCGTCCTTCCCCCCGTTACCCACGTCGAACCCACGCTCAACCCGCGTCGAAACACTGCCCAACGCTCGCCGTTGAACGTGAGTTTAACCCCCGTTCAACTCGAGTTAAACGCGAGTTGAACAGGAGTTGAAACCCCGGCGAGCCCCGTCGTTTGCTGTGCGTCCACTGCCACACCCTGCCGTGACGCCAGATCCCGCCCACCGCGCGTCCACTGCCACACCAACGGCGCGCAATGCTGCACACAGCACACTGCGCACTGCACACTCCACAACGACACACTGTACTCACTGACTCTAATCTGACATCCGGTCTTTTTATAGCCGATTTTGTCGTTTGCTGCACCGCCCGCGCGCGTTTTTCGCGTCGCCGCAGCAAACAATCCCGTCCAAAAATGGCAAACGGAAGGAGGCTCGTACAGTTTCTCTTGGAAAACGCTTGTTGGGGGAACAAGAGGGTCGTTGAACTACCTTTCTTGAAAAAAGGAGACAGCTAGTTCAACGGAAAGTGGCGAAGGTAGGGGTAGTAGTATTCGAGAGAAAGGATTTATTTCTGTTTTTTTATGTAAGAAAAAGTGAAGATGGTCTCTATTGCCCTTTTTATTAGAAACGGATCGTTAGATGAATTGGACGACTAGCATCTCCCTTGTCGCGTACAGTCACACAGGCTCGAAAACCCCATGTTGACCTAGCTCTACGGAGCTAGTGAGACAAGGTCCCTGCCCCCCCCCCCTCCCTCCCCCGCCCCATGGACCGTTTTTTTTTCTTTAACCCTACACTATTTCGATTTTTTATTTTTTTAAAATTTTTAGACCTCCTCAAAAATATATATATATATATATATATGGGGATGTAGAGCGCAAAGATATCTACACCCGCATATTTTTTTATTTTTTTTTGGGACTTTGTTCGCCGACGAAAACAAAATCCGCGGGCCGAGTTGAAACGAGTTGTAACGGGGTATAACGCGGAGTTGAAACGGGGGTTCAACGGGAGTGGAACCATTTAACGGGGAACCCCCGTTGAATCCAATTTCGGACACACAACCGAAATCCGCTGAAAGGCGGCCGCTCGTTGAGCTCGCGAGTATCGGTAGGGAGCGCAGCTAATGGGTGGATAATCTCGCGTGAGAATGGCATGCTCAATCACGTTAGTTAAGCCGATGTTGTTATCGTGTATGCTCAATACTTCTTCGTAGCCATTTAACACACGAATTAATAATTTTTGAAATTTTCGCGGGGACGTGGCCTGGCAAGGTGATTGTAGATTCCCCGGAAATCTTAAGGGGCATATCAATCCAATCAACCGGTCGTTCCCATCGATCATGGACACTAAAAAAAACGGAACTACTGGTGCGAACACAGAAGACATTTGCTATCATCTGGGACTCAGCAGGGCTGATCATCTTTGTTTCTTTAGTTTCAGTGTCAGTTTCTGAACTAATCGAGGTCGGTTTCACAGTTAGTCATGTTAGATCCGTAATTTCTTGCATCAGATTAGGTACATCATTTACCAGTGTTTCCGCTTCTTGTTTAATCAAGGCAATGGTGACTCCTGTCGTTAGTAACGATCGAGGTGGAAAAACAGAAACGTCTAAATACTGTTCCGTTTGCTGATAACCTGTTCGTAAGGAGAGAGCTCTCTCGTATAATGTGCGAGGGGGTTCCAAATCATTAGCCAGATCAGAATTTTATAATACGGGTTCCCCGAGGAGGACTGAAGGACTGACCTGGGTTTTTAGAGGCGTGAATGCACTGTCTTCAGAATCCACGTGGAAGTTTCGAGCGGTATCGAGGCACACTCGAAATTCTTCGGGGGTTTCATTTTCGAAAAATTCAACCAGATGCTTCTATTCCTCTTTACTGGGCATTTCTTCTTCGCATTCTTGTTCCCTAATTTCATCCCCGAGGTGCGAGGAAGGGCATTCCTATGGATCAACGCATCGAATCATCCCTATTTGGGCCGGGTTAGGGATACGCTTTATCGTTCGGGTGGAAACTTGAAAAGGAACAGTTTGAGGTTTCCCCCTGATTTGTGTGAGTACCAGTTGTCTCGAATCGAAATGCAGACGTGCGCCTACCGCCATCGCCCAAGGTAATCCCAATAACACAAAATAGGAACGTACATCTATTATGAGTGCGTTAACAAGGACGTGTACTCGCCCGACTTTTACAGCCACATTCTCGATAATGCGTACGATGTTCATTGCCTCCTTGTCGGGAGAGACATAATTGTCTTTGCCAGATTGAGGAAGAATGGATCCCAGTCGTCCCGTCTTTTTAACAGTATTCAATGATATGGCTACGGCAGAAGACCCTGTGTCAATAAGGGCATTAAACGCCTTGCCCCAAACTTCACAGTCACGTTTCGCATTTTTCCACAATACCGGCCGAACTCGTACGAAGTGATCTTTGTCTGCTAAAGAGATCGCTGCTATTCGTGCGGCTTCGGGTTCCTTCGTGTCTGGCTCAGGAGGCGCAACCTCCTCGCCTTCTTCCTTCTTCTTCAACATCCGTTGTATGTGTTGATAGGTGAAACGCTTTTGATTTTTCAGGCAGTGTTGTAAAAGTTAATCGTTCGCCGCTTCAGATATGGTGAGCAGATGCCCCACTGGGATGGGAACGCGAATATCTAGTTGCTTAAGCGTTTTCAGTACATCAATGTCTCCTGTCCGAAACTGCGGTCCTGGATTGGGTTCGCGATCGACCCACAGGAGATCATCTGGGACTGATCGGATCGCTCCGGTCATTCCGGCAAGATGGAGATACTCGAGGGGATCGACCACGTCAGCAGCGTCAGAGGAAGAAGCTCCTGAGGTTGATGCTATTATTGCTGAAGAGGAAGGCTGTTCTGGGGCACATGTTACGCGTTCTCCTCCCTGGTCCGTGTCCGTCAGAGCGGTCACTCGTCCTTGATTAAGGGCGACAGGAGCCGCAGCAGGGGGAGGCTGATTTCGTTTCGGCAGTGGGCAGTCCCGGGCAAAGTGCCCGGGCTGTTTACAGTTAAAACACTCGATCTTTCCTGCCGGATTAGCTAGATGAGAAAACGAAGGGGCGAATCCTGGAGCAGGCGGAGCAGGTAAAAGTGGAAATGAAGCAGGGGCAAGCCGAGCAGGAGCTGGATTAGGCTTAATGAGCCTGCTCATTATTTGTTCCATTCGTTCCATATGAGCAGCCTGCATTTGGATCAGGTTTCCCATCCATTCAGACTGTTTAATAGTAGCCGTGTGGATCATCTGGGCAAGGTATAGATTGGTTACGGTCGGCGAGGGGAGTTCAGATGAAGTTCCGCTTCTAACAGCTGCAATCGATTGATTCACTAGGGGAGAGGGAGGAGAAGCAGTCGGGATATCAGAAACGGTTCCGCCGGGAAGGTCTAGGTGGGGGCGGGGATAGAACCGTTCGGCCGCCTGTAGCCATGATCGTCTTTTGGCCGTTACATCCCGTATGGTATCTGTAATATCCTCGTCTCCCTGGCTGATATATTTTTCTGTATCAGCCAAGTATAGCTCCAGCGCTTTAGTAATGATAACCGATAACTGGGTTGTTTTCGGCGGAACCTTTTTCTGCAGTTTCCCTTTCAAGGTCGGACTTCGAAGGTGATCAATAAACAAATCTCGAGCGGATTTCTCGTCTCGCCCGGATTTATCCAAAGTGGTTTGAAACCGATCAACGAAATCGGGTAACAGTTCCTCTGGTCCTTGGGGTCGATTTTTGAGGACATACCAGGCGGCATCTTCACTAACCGTGTCGAATCGTGTCAAGAATGCAGGCTTCAAAGTCTCCCAATCTACCCATGTATGCTTTCGAAACCAGTCGTGCGATGTATTGCGGAGTAGTAAGGTCAGAACACGGGGAAGATCGGTTGCGCTGTAGTTTTGGGCTTCGATAGCTTCCAGCCAAGCCTCGGGATGGGTATGGTTGGGGAAGAAGGGGAAGGGGGCAGGGGTGCTAACGATCACCCTAGTACCGTCCACCATTGGTATTGCTGGCGCAGCCACACTAGACTGAGACCTGGTTACGGGGCGATCTCGACGAGCTAGTGGAGGGTCTCTCCTACCTTTCGCCAGTTCGACTTACTATCATCTGAACCGACACGTGTCGACTCCGATACCAACCTCACGCCCTGTGCTGTCTTCCGTTCAGAGTGTTAGCTGTGCGGAAAAGAGGCCCATAAAAACAGCAAGATAGGGTGTGCCAAGGATTTTTGAAAATTGAGTGTGGGGACACAGACGAAACTGAAATCCCCCGTGTTGGTCCGATGGAGCAAGTCGATCGTTTTCGCTCGTCGCGGAATGCTCGCGCGGGCAAGGCGGGAAGAGAGGGAAAGATCCAAATTCAATCCAAAAAGTATTGTCGTGCCTCCCACCGGGTTACAGCCCGTCGTTTAGAACAGAAAGGCTTGGGCACGCTTCGCGTATCTCGTTTTCGTATCAAAGCTCGTCGTCGTTTGCTGGTTAGTTATGAGTCTGATGTGGAGGGTCTCAGTCGCGTGGCTCTTTCTTTATGATCGTCTTCACTCCGCACACGGTAGTGGAAACCCCTGGACTCGTAGCGCTCAAAACGCCGACATTCGGTGCACACAGTGCGCGGCCAGTGGGGTTCTACTGCCATCCGCGGAATGGCGATTAACTCGTTAAATGACAACAATACCAAGTAAGATGGGAAGTTCGTATCGATAATAACGAACCCGGCTTCTACGAACCGATAACAGCGGTTCGCCGGAGGGAAGTAATACTGCCCGCCGATTTGTGCAACGGCTTCTCGTACGCCCCACTCACATACACGTGTCCTTTCCTCACTGTAGGGAAAAGGTCGCGTGGGGATGGGAGATATGGGAAGCTGGCGCCCAATCGGAGGGTACTTATCAGTCCACATGTCAATCAATCACAAAATATACCGAGACATCATTAAAAACGATTCGCGCGTTCCCCAATYAATCTTTTTGACACAAGACATAGAGAGAGAGCAAACACAGATTAGCCTGATCATGTAGATGACTAAGGGACCGATCAGTTCAACACAACGTTAGTCCTCGGCGCCTTGTTTTTCGAGGCCGCCTCGTGGCTCGGCTGCTGATGTCGTGTAGCATAAGGCAGATGGCATGTGCAGTACAGACAGAACTACAGATCTAAACACTCTTGCATTCTCGAACAAAATCTCGACGACACTCGTCTAATCAAATCGAAAAAGTCACGCATCTCTATACATGCATTCACTGTGGAAGGTGCGAAAATGAGACATGCACAGGAAAAGATGGATCGCATTGCACAATACACACGCATCCATCGTTCACAAGACAAGTATAAGGGGTCCTTGCGTAGGAGGATTACCCAGGAAACTAATGGAAGAGTTCTGGAAGAAGTTCTTTCACGCAGAAGCAGGATGCCAACTCATTCCTACTTAAGAGAGGGACAATCATTCAAACGCATCAGCATTCAAAAAAAAAGAGAGAGAGAGAGAGAGAGAGAGAGAGAGAGAGAGAGAGAGAGAGAGAGAGAGAAAGAAAATCCAAAATAGACACGGTTCGCCCGGATCCCACAGTCCGTCGTGGCGATCAAGCGTGCAACTGGCCAGCCTATCGTCAGCCCGACAGGACTTTTCGAATCGCATCAATCCACCCTACCTAGCCACTGCTTCCCGGAAGCTGGCTTAGGAGTCGAGAACGTAAGAGAGATTTGCGGACGCGTTTGCGGGTTTTATAGTTGCGACAGGGGAGATAGAAGGGGGAGAAGGCGACACGAAAGCTGAGCTGTCAGAGGAGAAGCAGGAGGAGAAGACTTTGAGAAGATTGCTCTACGAACGCCCTGCTAATCCCTCGGAACTCAAGGTTCAACCAATCAGATTCATCGCACGATAAGAAGGTCCTATCGATCGGCGCACCTGATTGGCGAGCGGGAGTTATCGGGGGATCGACCGGGCGTCGTACGCCATACTTAGAGGGTGAGAAGAGAAAAGGCGCGAGAGATGGCGCAAGACGGGTCCAAGATTCAGATGATCAAGAAAGGGAAATGGGCGCACGAAAGCAAGGCGGGAGAGAGAGGGAGGGAGAAGGAAAAAACAGTTACGAGGAGAGAGAAAAAGGAGGGAGAAGGGAAGGCAGGCGCGGGAGGGAGCGATGCGGGGGACAGAGAGGAGGAAGCTTTTGCATGCACGGCGCCGTCAACAAAAAAAAAGAAAAAGGCACCGAAACAGTTACAGCTTGCTTCTATCCTAATTCAAAATTGAAATCACCATATCCGTGTGCGAAAAAGCGACGCGGGAAAAGAAAATCCTACGCCTATTCGTATTCACGCAAAATTCCGAGAGTTTTCCCCAACGCGCCCAAGAACATTCACACACCCAAAAAGGACATGTCGAAGTTCCGCTTATCCCGGAATTCCCAACTGCCGAGCCCAATTCCCAGTGCGCTCGCTAAGGCGCACGTATATTCCAATGTATTTCCCGACTTTGCAAAAAGAAAAACAAAACTCATGAGTCGAAAAAGCTCTCAAAAAGGAAAATGCAGCACCCGAAAACAAGAAATCAAAACGGTGTTTTCCTGGGGTTGGTATGATACAAGCAAAAGAAAGGGTACGAAGGATGGCATGGGGTCGTGAAGTGGTTCGTCACATACCCATCCATCTCTTACTGAACAAAAAAATTGGATATGTGGCACAGACGTATCGGGCTGCTTGTTTTCAGGTAATATGGCAAAGCAGAAGTGGCTGTGTGTTTGACAGAGAGGACTGGACTAACAAACGAATCAGGGCCACCCTGGCGGCACATCTACGAAGATCTATCCAGGCGGACTGGAGAAGGAAAGTGAGCAAGTCAGCAACCCTGGCTTCTGGACTACGATGGTTTCAAGATACATGGTGCCTTCAAGGCTCCCTGGCTACAATCACGGCAGGGAAATTAGTGCTGGACCAATGGCTTTACTCAAATTAGATTAGGAAGTCAATAGTCTCAACCTGAATGCTCGGTTGTCGCTTCGGTCGCAGGAGACAGGCAGAGGGAATGAAGGGCCCTCTTGTGCTCGGTAGTAAGAATCGCAGGAGATGGGCAGTGGGCTAAAAGTGGAAGGAGCAGCCATGCTAGGTACCGGGTTCCAATTGGACCCCTCCTACCAACTTAGGTAGGGATCTGTAGAAGGGTAGAGAGTAGAGCGTAGCTTGAAGTTTCTTGGTATAAGACAGTAGGGACGGGTAATGGACGGGGTTACGTACTAGACTAGGAGGACAGATAGAACTATTTCGATTTGTTAGGTTATTGCAGGCCTGAGGCAAGTTTTCTTTTGTTTCCTTTGTTTGGTGGTTTTTGGATTGTGTTTCGGCTTTGTGGCCTTGTTGGGATTTCCTTTTTTCCCAGGGTTGGGATGTGTCAGGGCAGCGGTCTTGATTTGGCCATTCTGCTACTAGACCACAGTGTCCCAAGGCCTGCGCTTAAGCTGGGTAATGGTCCCGGTAACAAATTCTCTCCTTTCCATTTTTCCAGGGTTGTTTGTTGACGAATTCCTGGCCTCTCCCTTTTGTGTGACAATAAGAATGAGCAGAGTTTACTTGTAAAAAAAAAAAAAAAACTTGTTGTTTTTCTGCAGCGTTACTGCACAGCTACTGGCAGGTCTCCGTCTTTGTGTTAGCCAGACCCCCACTGGCGGCCCCAACCCTATACCCTAACATTAGGGGCAAGCGGCATCATGAAATCTCCCCTTCACAGAGAGAGGAAAACTATGCTTGCAGGGGTCCCCTCTAGATAGTCTTAGGAGTAGGAGTGGAAGGTAAACAAACAGAAGTTGAGAGAAGAATATAGACAGTTGTGATCACCCAAAAAAAAAAAGAAAAAAAAAAGCCGATCGATCGCGACTTTCTGCACCTCTTCACAAGGGCAACCAGATTCAGGTTTTAAATCCAATCCTCTTTGCTAGTGGGACCTAAGCCCGGAGGCGTGATCGTGTTGCGATGACGGTGCTGTGAGGGCTGTTTTGGCCTCATCAACCACCCGGTCTGAGCATAATTGACTTCCTCGTCGCAATCAATCAGTCAGAACCCCCGAGACGTGGCCGTGTGTGACGATGCGCACCACCATTAAATAGCAATCTTCGACGTTGCCTCCTCCGTAGCAGACCGAACAGAAACTTTCGCCCCAGCAGCTGAAGGCGACGCAGTCGATTTGTCTCCCTGACCGGATCGAGACACCGATCACAGGCCGTGGGAGAAGACGATTGCGCAGGAGCTCGGAGTAGATCTAACGATCATGGCGCACGCTGGCAAGTACGCGGACGAGCTCATCGCCACGGCGAAGAAAATTGCGACCCCTGGGAGGGGTATCCTCGCCGCTGACGAGAGCACGGGCACCATCGGGAAGAGACTGGCCAGCATCAACGTGGAGAATGTGGAATCCAACAGGAGGGCTCTGAGGGAGCTTCTCTTCACCGCTCCCGGGGCGATGCAGTACATCAGCGGCGTCATTCTGTTCGAGGAGACGCTCTACCAG